GCTGTTAGGCTCGAGGACGAGTCTTTTTCAACCAGGGGAGAATGATGCAACATCAAGAAAACTAAAAATCTAAGAAATTCATGAAGTCCAAGAATTCATCCAAGATTAAGATTTCTTTTCCTTAAAGTTTGGGATTTCTTATTTCTTATTTCCTAGTAATTTAATTTTTGTTTTAGTAGGATTATATTTGTAGTTCTAGTCAAATTAGGATTGTTAGTTAGTATCTCATTCCTACTAGAATTATTTTTCCTATTTTAGTTAGGATAGGTTTTCTTAACCTTATTCTTATTCTAGTTTAATTAGAATTAGTTTTCCTTAACCTTATCAATTCTACTCATTGTAAGGCCTATTTAAAGGGCTTAATATGCTGAAAATAAAGATTGGTGATTAGTATTTCTAAGCTCTTGCTTCAAAAACGTGATTTACTTTTTATTTCACTGTTCGTTCTTTATTCAATCTTGCGGGATTGAAGAACGTGTGGGTGAGGTTTCTTTTCATCTTACATTCTTCTAATGTGAGTTTGAAGAACGCTTTCGCTAGTTTTGTGAAAAACTTTAGCGGGGTGATTTTGTATTTCTCTCTTCTTTGTGGTTGAGAGGTGCAAAACCTTGAAAGTACATCAGTAAGGAAGCCTCTAGGCTGAGAGTAGGGTCCTGGAACATAAGGACATTGACGAGGAAGTCTATAAAGTTAGGTAAGATTTTTCAGACGAGGAAGATCAACATAACATATATCCAGGAGACTAGATGGTGGGTACTAAGGCACGGGATGTAGACGGGTTTAAGCTATGTTACCCAAGAGGCGTTGGGGCAAGAATGGGGTAGGTATTTCAGTTGACGGAGACCTTCCGGGAGCTAGTGGTCGAGGTTAAGAGGGTAAACGATGGGTTGATGAGTATTAAACTGGTAGTTGCAGGGTTTACTACGTGATTAGTGCGTACGCTCCTCGGGCAGGCTTGGACCAGGAGGTCGGTAATTTTGGGAGGATTTGGACGAGGTGGTAAGTAGTATCCTGCACACCGATAAGCTATTCATTGGAGGGAATTTCAATGGTCATATTAGGGCTACTGCTAGGGATTATGATGATGCGGGTTCGACTTTGGGGATAGGAACGAGGGAGGTATCTCATTGTTGGATTTCGCTAGAGCTTTTGATTTGGTGATAGCTAACTCGAGTTTTTGCCGAAAAGGGAGGAGCACACCTAGTCACCTTCCGGAGCACAGTGGCCAGGACTCAGATTGATTACCTTCTGTGCAAGAAATGTGATAGAGGTGTATGCAGCACTGATTGCAAGGTCATCACGAGTGAGTACCTCACGACCCAGCATAGGCTCATATTGATAGACTTGGAGATCAAGAGGAATGGGAGAAAGGGGTTGGAGATTTGGAGGTTGAGCAGGACCAAAACAGAAGACCTAGAATGCAGATTCAGTGACAGGACTCATGAAGCGAACGTGGATGTGAAGCTTGATACTCAAGTTATCCCCAAGAGAGATAGTTTCAAGTATCTCGAGTCTATAATCCAAGGTAACGGGGAGATTGACGAGGATGTCGCACATCATATTAAAGCGGGATGGATGAAATAGAGGCTCACAAGTCACATCCGGTGTTTTATGTGATAAGAATGTGCCGCCAACACTTAAGGGTAAATTCTACAGAGTGGTGGTTAGACCGACGATGTTGTATGGGGCTGAGTGTTGACCAGTCAAGAACTCCCATGTGCAGAAGATGAGAGTAGCAGAAATGAGGATGTTAAGATGGATGGGCGGATGTACTAGGAGAGAGAAGATTAGGAATGAAGTTATTCGAGACAAAGTGGGAGTGGCCTCCGTGAAGGACAAGATGCGGGAGTCGAGGCTGAGATGGTTTAGGCATGTCAAGAGGAGAAGCATTGATGTCCCTGTTAGAAGGTGTGAGAGGTTGGTCATGGCGGGTCTGAGAAGAGGCCGAGGTAGGCCAAAGAAATACTGGGAGAGGTGATTAGGCAGGACATGGCGCAACTTCAGCTTATTGAGAACATGACCCTTGATAGGAGGGTGTGGAGGTCGAGGATTAGGGTACAAGGTTAGTAGGTAGTTGATAGTATCTCCTTTTCTATCCAGTAATATTAGTAGCACTCATGTACCTTCATATTCTTAAATCTTTATTAGGTCATGTTGTTTAGTTCGCCTCAGTTATCGTATTTTCCTATTGTTACTACTTGGTACTACTTGTTTTTTCCTTCTTCCTTTACTTTTCTCTTCCTTTTCTTTCCTTTTTTTCTTCTTCTCTTCTTCTTCATCTTCTTCCTCTTCTTCTTTCTCACATTTTCTGAGTCGAGGGTCTATTGAAAACAGTCTCTCTACCTTCACAAGGTAGGGGTAAGGCCCTGCATGCACACTACCTTCCCTAGAACCCACTTGTGGAATATATTGAGTTTGTTGTTGTTGTTGGACCAAATAGTAGCAAATAAAGCTTAAAACTTAGAATAGAGAAATAACAAAAACAGCTACTAAAGCTTAAAACATAAAAATAGAGAATAGATAAGGAAACAAAACTAACATATTTTGTAACCTAGAAATCTCTGAGGGCCACCTGGAGCACGATGTGAAACTCATATAATAGGTCCTCAATCTCCACTTAAATACTGGACTTTACTGAAGAGTCTGAAATCATGTCATGTGTCTAACCCACACATCATGTATTGCGTTCTTATCGCTGAACCAAAGCCTTGAGGGCGAGGAAACAACAAACTTATGAATCGAAGATGCTAACTATTGAAGGATGTGCAAATTGAGGTCAGCTAGCAACCAGTGTAAACACAACACGACATAAGTGGGAATTTGTATAGATTTTGGTCACGCAAAGTAAGGTACTCTGACCAGGAAGACGAAGAATGTAAAGAAGGAAAATATAAGGAGAGGAAAGGGGGAAAAACGAAGGAAAAGGATGCGAGGGAGGCATCACTAGTTTGCCCGTCACTGCGACATGAGTTCTGAATCTTGTGACGAAGTGAAGGTGATGTTGTCGCTACTCCGATTGCTTTTCTGGTTTTCCCAGATTTGGAGGAAGAAGAAGAAGAAAAGAAAAGCCAAGGAGAAGTGGTAAAAAGAAGCTTTTTGGGCTAGTACCAAATTTCAAACCATGAGTGAATTGCAAAGATAGGGGCCTGCTTGTCTTAGCCTTAAAACACACACACACACACACACACATATATATATATATAGTACATAAAGAATGAAATGATAACGTATTTACAAAAAGTTATTTACACTTATTTTGATTCAATTGTTTTACTAAATTATTCAATAAAGTTGAGTAGTAAACCATGAATATTAAATTAATTAAAAATAAAAAAGCAATACATAATTACACAATAATTGTTGGCCACTAAATTTAATTAATAGAAATTGAGTTATATCACATTGCTGAATGAGGTATTTTTGGGCAATTCTAAATAAATAATGGCATACATACTAATACTTACATACTTATTAAACGTATAACTGTACCCCTGTCCTTATCCGCGAATCCTAAGACTTGCGTGATGACGGCTCTGACACTTTAGATCCGTAAATGTGTTAGATAATCACACAAGTACTTGCCGATGTCCTAGCAACGACTTAAATTTTTGAGAAAGATATTGATTCCTAACAACGGCAACTCTCTAACTATAAAGGAACATAAGCACTTATACACTCGGTCCGCAAAGAAACCAGCATAAATCCAATGGTTATTACTGGATCAGATGTCTAATCAACGAGCTTTTACAAACCTACGTCGTGAAGCCATAAGAAGCCACAGTAGAAGTGACTTGCTAATATCTATGTTGCTCGGACTCTCTAAAAGTGTTGCCGCACCCGTGTCGGATCCTTCAAAAATGCACTAAATTTGAAGGATCCGACACGCACCCAATAATATTTTTGAAGAGTCCGAGTAACATAGCCTAGAAGTGATAACAAATTTTCTGGGGACCGGGTTTACCCACTATAGCTGGAATTTTAAGATTAAGAACATTAGGTCTTTGGTTGAATTATTAGGTGAGTACATGGAAAATCAAAGCTTAGACAAGTGGCTTCATCACAAGAGATCAATAAGTGAAAAAGCTATTACTGCTTCAGCACATTCTGTCTTGGAATGGAATACTAGACTGCAAAATTGCAGTTGGAGCTCTATGATACATGCATCACGAGTGCTCCCCNCCATTTTCACCTCTAAGCACGGATTGGCTCACCCAATGTCCTTTACAAGGTAATTATGGAAAATCTTCTACCTAAACTGCTTTGATAGGTCATAACATGGTTTTCAAGCCATGATCTGCTCTACCTAGGGACACTTCAATGAGAGCAACACTATAGAAGTCAAAAAACAGATCGCAATATAGTTGATAAAGTTAATTCTTAAGACCCACCAAAATATTCCAGAGGCTTTCAAAGAAACACCTTACCCAGATCATCATGAGACTATCAATTAACATAGAAAAATACAGCTTAATACTCTTCCATATAATGAGACTGACAAGGTTGGACCCTAGGATCATAACATACAAAATATGGCTTAAAACTCTTGTAGCATAAGAACTTAAGCACATTCAGAGCCGAACATAACACAAAATGAGATATATAATGGGGCCAACATTTGAGAATTGTCTTAAAAGCAGAGAAAGCTAACTCAAAAATAACCATCTTCACCATTCAAATTAAGCAGAAAACTTAGACTTGGCAAATAACAGCCAGAAGAATAGTTTCTTAAGCTCTGGATAAAGACCACAAGCTTGAATTCAAATCCCTTTCTGACCTCCGTTGCGGTCTCAGCCATTAGAACCTATATCCTTAATCCAATACCCATGTCATGAAGAACACGAATAAGAGAACAGTGAAGGTTTTAACAGAGAATACTGAAAATATGTAGCATGAAGAGCAGAGGAGTAAGGATTGGGAGAAAGGTGCTCTACGAAACTGAACCAGACATAAGCACTTCAATAATCAATAAGAAGTTCATTATTATGTGCTAAAATCCTTACCTTTGTTAATTTTGCAGGAAGACAACAACCGAAATGCAGTATTGGCATCCTCAAACCTTAGTTTCCTAGCAATCCATGAATAGACCACTCCCTTACAATCATTAAGAGTGTCAATTTCACTAGGTGCTCCAACTATGTTCTTCTTATCACTGAGAGTCGTTTTTATCCCAGATATCTGAAGTGCAGCCTCAGAAATTGCAGGCTGGCAAACAGGCCTGCAGCACTCTTTCAGAGGATCAACTGTGCTGCATGAATCTAACAGTTTGCTTGTATTTAATGCTTTCTCAAAGGTACTGATGTCCTTCACGGGGCAAGACCCGCCAGTCAGATTGGACGACTTTACAGAACACATGCTAGATAAGGAGCTGTTTGCTCCTCTGCTGGCTAGTATACTGATGATATCTTTAAAACAATCATCAGCCACCGCATTTTGTAAAACTAAAGTATCAGAACGGTTGCTGTAAAATCCCTGGAATATGTGGAGTAAGCTATTAAACTGCGGGCAGCATATTACATTCCCTACTACTGTAGACAAAGATTGAGTACAATCAGATGCTGTTTTTCCTGTGATGCTCGAAATGACTGAGAAATTTACAGGGCATCTTCCAGTCAAGACAGGGTCATATGTCTTTGGGAAGGAAGGGTACATTGGTGGCAAAGGTTCTCCAGGAAAAGGATAATGGGGGATCATAGCAGGTGATATGTCAATTGGCTGAAAAGTTCCACTGTTAGGTGTGCTAGGTAGTTCAGAAACGGAAGGAGTTTCCCCAGGTTTAGGTAACAGAGGCAGAGACATTACATTTTGATAGCTAGACAACCAGAGAGCAACTACTAGCAGCAGGTGGCAAAACGAACCTGCAATATGAGAAAAGTCTGTATCTCAGCAAGCATACATAATTTAAAGCCTGGATAGAGATGCCACATGCACAGAACTCTATAAGAGTTCGGCAATGTCAATTACCTTTAGAAAGTGGTTACTTCATGCAATAATGGCAAGTAAATCCTATGTAGCTTGAGACTTGAGAAAAAATCATCATGAAAATAAACTATGTGCTTGAGATGCAAAGAAAACGAGGCAATCAAAACTAAGGTTCAGCAATTATCATTTTCTATTCAGTATGGATAGTATAAAGCCTACAAGAGAGGAATTGTCTAGTGGGAAGCACTTTCCACCTCCAAACCACAAGGTTTTTTTACCATATCGAGGAAAAAAAGAAAAATACGAAAGCCACCATCAGGCATAAAACATGTGACCAACAAGAGTTGTAGACCAAAGAGTTTCTCTATAACTGCATGCATAACCATGAACTTGTAAAATAAAAAACTGGAAACACCTATGATGCCATTTGTTAAGAGACAAAACAGAAAGCCCAAGAAAATCTAGAGCAGGCCAGGTGGCTTTTGGGTCACGGGTGGAGGGCAGAGTGACAGTGTGAAGTTTTGTCTTTCCCGATCTCCTACCGGATAAAGGAAAGTGTAGCATAAAACTTTCATGAGCCCAGTGCTTTACCCTTGAGACGACTAACAATCATTATACAAGCCATGACTCCACTAACCCTCCGNCGAGCCCAGTGCTTTACCCTTGAGACAACTAACAATCTTTATACAAGCCATGACTCCACTAACCCTCCGGCAACATGGAGACGTGCAACAGGAACCTTTAGTCGGCTGATGGTACACCAATTGAGCTGGTCAAGTAGCAATACCTACACCAGATCGAACCATGTTATGATGCAGAAGAGATCAGGCAACACCATAGAATCCTAAATCACCTTATAAAGCAAAGGGACATCCATATATAAGCTTGGATCTTATTATTAAGAAAGAGGTACTACAACAGAGAGGAGCATAACATGCTTTGTACCCTCCAGAAGGCAGTCTAAATGCATCATTTTCTTGTTGGAGAAGTATTAAATAAACATCTAGCCAGGTATGACTCACATCTCATGCAAGATTAATAACCATTTGCAAAGTAGACAACTGATAAGCTTGCAATGGTAAACTGGGGTAAGGCCGTAAGCGACCTTAGCAGATTAAATGCAATGCAACTCTTATCCATAGAATCCAAGGAAAGAATCGGACTAAGATGTTCTAAATTGCCTCTCTTTCATCATTGTCTTACCCTAGTTTGCTGTATGCAGAATTGAAAAGTAATGGAGGTTCAAATCCACTCTTTTCCAGGTCTTAAAATTTCTACTTCACAATTGGAAGGTTAATAATGTGTAACAGCCCAACCCACTAGTGACATTGTCCTTATTGGGCCTAGACCCGGACGGCTTCAAAAATACGTCACTAGAGTCTAAGGTTTGTCTATTTATATACCCAGCATCTCTTCCGTTTTTGTCGATGTGGGATTCGCCTACGGTGAAACATACATCCCCAGGGACTCAACGTACTCGAGGTTTGCCCCACCACCGTTCAAAGTTGCACACAAAGTGGCTCTGATACCATATGTAACAGCTCAGCCCACTAGTGATATTGTCTGCTTTAGGCCTAGACTCGCACGGCTTTAAATGCGTCACTAGAGTCCAAGGCCTGTCTACTTATATACCAAGCAACTTTTTCGTGTTTTGTCGATATGAGATTCGCTAGGGTGTCACATAATGATACAAGAAAATGTCATATTTACATATCACCATCATCCAATTATTCCTTTCTCATCCTACTTCCCATAATTGCTTTCCATTTTAAGGCCACAGTCCAAGTTATCCCAATAACGGTGTAAGATCGTGACTACAAAAAGTATTCATACCTTAAACTTGTCCATTCTTCCTTATGAGAAAAAGAATAGCTCTCATACACAAAGTTACAGCTAGAAACTTGAAAATACCACTAATAAAACTCTTATTAAGACAAGAAAACCAAATCTTTCATAAAAGTTCATAAAAGTCTAATCTTAGATCAGCCCTATGAAAAAACACACATACAGGACACTTTTCAAACATACCCCTCAGCACTCGTTTCAAAACTCAAGAGCGAAACAACCAGAAACAAAATTAAAAAGAAAATTGTAGCTTAAGCCCCTAACATCGCAATATAAGCAAATCCAAACGGGTAGTAGCCAAAAACAAATATACACATACAGAGAAAGAAACAAAGAGAAGAAAATGATAAGGATGAACCTGAAGTGAAAACCCGGTAAAGAACAGAAAGTGTTCTTATCAGTTGTCATTAAAGAATGGTAGGCAAGGGTTCAAACAATCAAGAACACGAAGACCATTTTTCTAAGTGAAAATCAACCCACAAATTTGACTATATTAGGAAAGTGGGTAAATGTCGAAGAAAATATCAATAGAACCCTATAATAATTATCAGAGAGGAGGGGAAGTAGTAGGTGTTGAGCTCAATGATGGATAAAGTGGGGCGCCGCGGCTTGAAGAGGGGCCGGGGGTGGGGGGATGTTAATGTTACTGTCCTCTTTTGCCGGTGGCTCTTTTTATTTTCTTTTATATATATGATGAAGTGTAACCCTGCGGTTGTGTAATGGGAAGATCCATCAAACCACCTGATTTTTCCACGTAAAAATGAGATGGGCCCCGCACTACTTGTTTATGATAGACGGGCGTGTTCATACAAAACTCACAAATTGAACCAAATCGAAAAAAATAAAAAAATAAAAAACCATACTTTTTAGGTTTGATTTGGTTTTGATTTTGAATTTTAAAAATCGATCAAATTTGGTTAGGTTTTAGTTTTAATCAAAAAATAATCGAAAAAACCCGAACCAAACCGACTATAGAAGTAGCTATATAAATTTATTATTACACCTATATATATGTATATTTTTATATAAAGTTTATAAAATATTATGGTACATATTAGTTGGTTGTATTTTAAGTCTAGTTCTTTGCTATTACAATAATCTAATTCTTTGCATTTACATTCTAGTTTGATTGGTAGTTTATTTTTGCTAAGTACAAGAATTATTTTATATTAAAAATAATTATTTTTTAATTGAGTACTTAAATTATTCATCAATATTTGATTCAATTAGCATCAATATATCATGGTAAATGATAGATTTCTCAAAGAGTAATTCGTTTGATAGTGTTACGTTGAAAATATAGTCGCCGGAATATGTGTTTGGTAGTGTATGTCTCATATTTAAGAAAAAGGCCGATAAATAACCGAAAAAATCAAAAAACCGACAAAAACCGGATCGCTAAAAAGCGACTTAATTGGTTTGGTTTGGTTCCAACATTTTAAGAACCGACTTACTTGATTTGATTTTTTTATAGGGGAAAACCAATCCAAACCGAACCATGAACACCCCTAATAGACTGATTGGAAGAACAGTGGAACATGGAAAATTCTCTTGTATTTTTATGTATTTTCTTTCCCAAAATAAAAGGGCTAGTCATAGTGTTGGCGCATTGTGCATGTTCGCATATTAATAAATATAATAATTCTAAAAATTTACATAAATATTATTGTGTACGGGTAGAATCGGGGATAAAGTTACCCCCGTTTTTTCATTGAAAAACGAGGAACAACGTTACTCATTACTAGCTCGAGTGAGACCGAGGGTGCTTGCAGATAGGAACCAGGAGCAGACAAATTCGAGCATGGCCAAACCGGAGAGACTCTAGCTCGAGCAATACGAAGAATCGAGAATAAAGGAAAAAATGGTTAAAGAAGACAAATGGAGAGCCGAAATACCCACCATCAGCCATATATTACGGCGCAGATCACGCTCAGTATTGGTTGTAGATCGTGTTTTCATGAGAGAAAAGGAAGGAAAGGATTTTTACCTTATGTAGACTTATATTAGGGTTAAAACTCCTCTACTATATAAAGAAGAGAGCCATTTCATTTTTTGTTCACTGTTACTGGCACACATATCAAGGCAATAAAATTTACATTGGCTTTTAGCAATTGTCTAAGTGTTCTTTAGTGGTTCATCCGTTTATCGGAATCGGAGCCCCATCTCGAAGGCTCAACCGAGACTGGCCATTGGCACTTAAGTTAAATCCAAGGCTTAATTACTACGTCAATTCGGTTTGATCGTTTCATTATATTTCAATTCAATTATTTACTATTCTTTAATCATTTGTGTTAAATTAAATCACATATCCTTTAAACCGCGTATAAATTTAATTGTTATCTGTTTTAAGGGTAAACAGTTTGGCGCCCACCGTGGGGCTCAGGATAATAGTGGTAATTTAATACGAATCTTGATAACACACATTATTTTACATTTGTTCTTTGAAGTTTGATTTCAGGAATGTTCAATATCTCGGATTCTCAATCTGCTCACTTAAGTGTTGACGCCGAATCAGGCCACCACAGTGAAAATAACAACGGGGTGCCAAGTAACGGCGTACCCCCTATCGACCCTAATGGCGTTCCAATCGCTGACTCAGTCGATGCCAATTCATAAGTTGTTGTCAACGCTAACCTACCAACTGACCCCAATAACAACGTTCATGGAGTACCTCGACCGTCGGTTCGCGAGGCACCCGAAGGGGAGGTGATGGAATTAGCTTGCGTTTGATTTTTGAGATGTTGCAAGCTCAACAAATTGCCATAGCACAACTACATAGTCAAAATCACAATGCGGCTGAACCTGAATGGGTTGGAGAAGATGTTCGGAGGGAAGAACGGTCTGTCATAGAACCTAACGAGCCCGGATCCGAGGAAACTTCCGAGGTGATGAAAATGCTTGAGGCACTGACAAAACGGGTAGAATCCTGCGAAAAAAAGATTGAGAAAAATGATAAGAAAGTGAAAACTTACAACTCGAGGGTCGATCAGATCCCTGGGGCACCTCCGGTAGTAAAGGGACCGGATTCCAAAAAGTTCATTCAGAAGCCTCCCCCCCCCGAGCACGACATCAAATCCTATTCCGAAAAGGTTCTGAATGCTTGATATTCCCAAATACAATGGGACCACGGATCCAAACGAGCATGTGACCTCTTACACATGCACAATAAAAGGCAACGACCTCGAGGATGACGAGATCGAGTCGGTATTGCTGAAGAAATTCGGGGAAACCCTGTCCAAGAGAGCGATGATATGGTATCACAATTTACCTCAAAACTCTATTGATTCATTTGCTATGCTTGCAGATGCCTTCGTTAAAACTCACGTCGGGGCCATTAAAGTTGAAACGAGGAAATCAGACATGTTCAAAGTCAAACAGAGGGATAACGAGATGCTTAGGGAATTCGTGTCGAGATTCCAAATGGAACGGATGGACCTGCCACCCGTTGCAGACAATTGGGCCGTTCAGGCATTTGCTCAGGGGCTCAACCACCGAAGTTCGGTTGCATCTCAATAGATAAAGAAAAATTTGGTAGAGTATCCATCGGTTACTTGGGCTGATGTCTATAACAGGTATCAGTCAAAGATTAGAGTCGAGGACGACCAATTAGAGACCCCTCTGGGGTCGGTTTATCCCAATAGAGCAAACGACAAGTCTAGAAGAGTAGTGGACCAGGAGTTGAGACCACCCCCAGACCGATACTAGCCTTCCAACTCAGATAGAAGGGGAAACGGACCCAGCCACTATTAGACCAGGAACGATAGGATAAATGATCAAGGTCCAAGTAATCGAGGG